GGGGGGGGGAGGTTGATTGAGAGAGATGCATGGAAGTTGATGCTTTAGCTGCATTTGATCAGCATAATCTAGCTTAATGCAATCTATTTTCCTTATCTCGACTATGAGCTTCAGAAATAAATACAAAGAATTGAAGGTATAAAGAAACATTGTCATTTCTTTTGCCAGCTATTTTTGGTTCAACTTCATTCCCATTAATTTTGGCAGCTAGACCAAAAAAGCCTTCAAAATTAAAAAACAAATTCGCATCCAAGGTCTATCGTAAACATTACACAGTCCCTTAGTCTGTCATTTCTGATTCTCAGTTCGATTTAGGAAGATATTTGGTCGACGAAAAATGGTTTAAATAAGTTTTTATCCTGCATTCTCTCGTTACCACGCAAACAACTGGACCGCGCTCCGTGTCAAGTTACTACCGGCTAAAAAGTCCAAATTTCTCTACATTAATACCGTTTGTTAGAAAAACCTTACCGGAAAAGCCTTGCTTTCGACGTAGATAAGCATTTTGATTCATAAATCTATCCAATATTGTTTATTTTACCGAAGAAAAGTTGGATCATTTATAGTTGAGCCATTTCCATGGCACTACCACCATTTTGTGTACAATGTGACGTCATTACCCGCGGGAATCCCGTTTGACATCAATATAAACATATACATTTTATAAAACTTGAGACATACAAATTTCGTGACTGGCGAAGAAAACAGAGCTTTCGTCCCAATTGATATTCCCTCTCCATACAATTTACATACAGTACAAACATGATTAATATTAAAATTGACGAGGAAAAAACAATAATAAAAAGAACATATCAAAATTTATCAAAATTCAAATTCAAAAGATTTTAAGGTGGTAAGTGATGTTCTATTTTTGAAGCAAAATGGGTGGTCACAAGTTCCTTAAATTTGGATATGTCCTCAGACTTTCAAATAAAATAAAAGAAATGAGCTTAAATTTTCATTCTTTGAGATACAAATAGTCTAGCCTAAGAAAATGAGTTTATGAATTGAGAAAAATAATTCGAAAGATATTATATAATTATGTAAAAAAAAAATTACAGATAACATTTGAAATTGTACAATGATAATTTTTGTTTAAATTCTTTTTGGGGATTAGAACACTTTGGAGTAATTGTCCTCAAAAACCACAAGATTCGAATAAAATTTTGTAGCATGGGTTCCCTGTGGTGCTACAGCCCAAAATAGTCATTTACGCATATTTTTCATTCCTTGTGGAATACCATCCGAAGGCGTTTACGGATATCTGCGTTTGGAATAAATGAATACCCTAGAAGCGAGGGCAAATCAACTATACCGTAACTTAGGCATAGAAGAGGCATCAAGGTACAGAATGGCGACTCAAAATGGCAGCTCGGGGCTCCAGGTTGGAAAGAAAATACCTCCACCAGTCTCGCCAAAGCCAAAGCGTATGACAGCAACAAAGCTGGTTCACCACAAGAACGATCAACCACCAAAACCTGCATCCAATGATAGATCAACTGAAGATGAGCTAGATGCGCTTACTGATCTCCTTGTAAAGAATCTAGAGTACAGTTCCGATCCAGATTTCTTCGGTAAGTTGAGATCGTACAAGTTCGTGTTCAAAAAACTGAGCTCTTTCGCGCGTTTGCTTTGAGGAATGACTACAAGCTGTTCATTTGCCACGGCATAATAGATTACCAAATGTCTAGCTTTTCGAGTGCCTTGTGCTCTTCTAACTACATCTGTTTCGGTTTTATGATACTAGAATGCTTTTGGTTCAAGTATCTGCACTTTTAATGATATACTCGAACTACAATATGTTGCATGATTCGTTTATTTTCTTGCACGATATTAAATGGTCCTTGGGCTATGTATATATGGGTTTTATATGGCTTCGTCTTTCCAATTATTTTATAAGCAAAACATGATGGATTCTCGTACCAAAAGCGCAACCAATTCCCGCAATAAACATTTTGGTAAATCAGACACTCAGCACTCGTATAATTTAACTAATACTTAGTACAAATAGTTCTGCCCATCTCTATTTTAAAATTTGCCGACCAAGCTTTTTAAAATGATATTTTAATAAATTTTTTTWAAATCCAAATATTTACCAAAGCATTGTAATAATACCGAGTCTTTAAATCTAATTGGCCTAATTTTCTGCTATTGTACAAAGAAAGATTATAACAATGATAAGAATTCTATAAACTTTCTATACTTAATTTTTAACTTGTTTACTGAAAATAAGTATTCTAATGTACTATAACTTTAGATTTTGTACGAAGTTTGAATATTTTTGAGTGTTTTGAATCAGCCATCATTAAAATCATACTTAATCAGTAATGTCAACATAACATAAAAAATAGGTTACATGAATCAAATGATTACTGATGACTAATTCATTTGTGAAATTCATTTGTCAAATTATTATTGAATTGTGATAAGGATTCATTGGAACTGCTATATTAGATTGATTATATTTTACAAAGGTTTTGAAAAGGTTCATTAAATTTTCTGTTAGTTTTAGCATCTGTTTATGTCTCTAGAATGAAAAAATATATTTTATTTCATTAAAATTGGAATATACATGGTAGCTATGAGTATAGCCTTCCACAATGAATATTTAGGAAGGCGTGGCCACAGTGGCATAATGTGAGGGAGTTGCAGGCAGGAAACGTTATATCTTTTGACTATAATTGGACATAACTGCAGCTTGGGGTACCCAAGGACATTACAGGYATATTAAACAGTTGAATAATTATTTTACAGTACTCTTTTTAGTTTTTTTCTTTCTTTTTTAAAAATCTAACCTCAATATGTACAATGAGCCAAAACGTGTCTCATATTAAATACATTCAAACGATATAATCTCGCATAAAAATATGTAAATATAAGCATTGTACTACTCTCCTTGGTAAAAGTCAAAGATATATGAATAATATGTAAATGAATTATTATTATGGATAAATGTCATTCACGATATGAATTAAAAATATACTTATAGTGAGGAATACTTATCCGTAGTCAGAGAAGTACTAGATAATAGAGAGACACTTTGTTGAAGAAAATATATGAAAAACTAATAATAAATATAGATACATACGTACAAACCACCTATTGATTTGATATTTACAGCTATAAATAGCACATGTACTCCACAAATTTACTAGTACGGTATGTAACAGCTACTGATAACCAAACTTCTTTGTCTAGGGGCAAATCCAGGAATTTGTTGGGGGGGTGTCCCATATTAAGAAATGTGTATAGCGATATTATGCACCATTTCAAAAAGAGCAAGAGTAATTATGACGTTAGGTGGATGTCCAATGCACTGGATATCCCCTTGCATCTACCCCTGTCGTCACTAACAATATATGTGTTTATTTTAGGAATCTGTTCCAAATGTGGCCAAAAGGTGTCTGGCGAAGGAACTGGTTGTACTGCAATGGACAAACTCTTTCACATTAAGTGCTTTGTCTGTCATAAATGTGGTATGTAGCAGTTACCAGCATGAATACAGATATACTTAGCAATTATTCGCTGAAGGCGAAGTGAATATCGGGGAATAATTACCGAGATGCAAGTCTTCGAGCGGAGGCGAATAATTGTTTTAGCATATACCAACTTGTGTACAGAGTAACTTATTTTATATACAATAATTCAATAAAAACAAACAAACACAAACTTTTAGTTTGCATGACAAATTCACACAAAACTTTTAGCAAAACTCTTAGCAAAACTTTTAGGCCATACTTCGTTGCCTTTTTAGTATTGATAGGAGTGGCATTTACTTTTTTTTACAATTTCCTCATCGGAAATCGTAGCAAAACGATTGCCGGCAGATGCCATTTTGTTGCCGACTCAACATTCCAAGATTCAGAGGTGAATATCGTACAATATTCACCTACTATTAACCAATRAGCGTGCGCGTTCTTAGGAAGTACACAAATTGGTATATGCTAAATCCCCTTATTATCTTCCCATCGATTAAGACTGTATAGGTATTAGATAAACTTCTTTAATTTCTAAGAATTAAGTTCCAGCTATACCATTTTCATTAATGATTCTCCTCAAGCCTCGGAATTATTCTGTGAACAAATCAGGAAGTTTGCAAGTTCTCAAGCAACATACAATTTTGAATTTGCTATTTATTTTCAAAAATAAATTTACTTGTTTACTGACAAACATTTTATGATTTCCAGGTTGTCAGTTAACAGGCAAGGTGTTCTATAAAGTTGAGGATAAGGCATACTGTGAAGAAGACTATGTGGTRATTAAATTTAAACTAGATTTGAATGTTTGATATCTGTTTTTCTATGGAAGTTGTAATGAAGAACTAGAAAGTGATAGTGAAAAGCATCATGAGGATTGACAGTGTTAATGATTATTAGTACTAGCATGACATACATGCATGTAGCAAGGAGAATGTACCTCAGTCTATAAGAAATCAGTATTTCGGGACTTAAACTACCAGGCTATCATCAAACAACATCTCGTCAGAATTGGAACTCAAATGGTTCAATCTTTGCCTTGCCTGTCATTTTGAACCAGAAATGAGGTATGGCTGAGCTAAAACTAATTTGGCAGGTCATCATTACCAGAAACTGACCAGCTTTCATTTTAAGCTAGCAGTGCAAATGTGTGTTACAATAAATTGTGTTTCTGAAAATAAAATTATAATTCATAAAATTTCAGAATTCCCTGGAAACCTGTTGGTACTGCAACAAGAACATAACTGATCGAGTAAGTTATACATAGTATAGTAGTAATAAATTATGCGTTCGGTGTGTGTAATGAAATAGAGAGAGTAAGAGAAAAATATCAAATGCTCTTGGCGGGAATCAAACCCACGTCTTCGGTATTCCAGTACGATGTGTTAACCACCATGCCACAAGGACCAACCACGCTGGTAGCGCAGCCGGAATATGAAATGTAGGGTACTCRTGAGGAACCCGGAGCGATATTTTTAAAGTTATACATAATTAATTATTTATGTCTTTTCATTCCTTTACTTTGCTTACTTTTAACAAACAACTCAAGTCATGATGATGTAATCAACAATTTATTCTCTCCTTGGCTCAGCTTATTTAATAGGACACTTGCTTTATAGTGTCACCTACTACCACTACCAGAATCCCTTGCACACATTCTTTTGTTCAGTTAATTAGCACCAATTGTCTTACTATTCTCATGAGGGAATACAAATTTAAATAATGAGAAAATTCACAAAGCATTTTGGTGTGGTAGTAACATGAAGCCATCATGCTAATGGCATATGATTTACATCCATTTTCRTGGTATATTTTGATATTTGTTTTGCATGTGTCGGGCATGTAGGAGCCAGGGGGACTATAGCCCCCACTTAATGGGAAATRATTTTTCAAATTTACAGTTTGTAATAATGCTTTAAAATACTCATGATCATAAAACTAAATTCTTATATTTAAAAAAATGAAAATTTATTGGAAGTAGCTATAGCATTTGCTATGCTATTGTACATACACCTACTTGCAAGAATGTTGTCGTACGATATTAGAACATTAGTAATTTAGTGAGAAAGAAATACATAATTAAAAGACAAAAGAAAAAGTTCAGCTTCAGTGATCTTCTTTTGTTTTTTAATATAATTCCTATCCCACTAAATCACTAATGTTCTATTTTYGTATGACAACGTTCTTGCAAGTAGGTGTATTTAATATAACAATCAAATCAAATTTGCTAAAATATTTAAGACCCTAGTAATTAATATGCTGTGGAAAGCTGTGTACCTAAGGATGTGGTCATACCAATAACAAAATCCTGCAGCTTCTCAAGCAGCAATTTTGCATTGCAAGTTGCAAGTTGAAGCAAAAATAAAAAGACTATCTATTTTAAGACCTTATTTTTTTCTTTATCTTTAACTTTTTTAACATTATGAAGCAAGTGGTGTACATGGGCATTAATATGAATAATCTGACATCACTCTGCAAATCGTGACATTGTCGTGTAAGAAGTTGCAGGGTTTTGTTGCTCTCATTACCTTATCACCGGAGGGCTCAATAAAATTATTGTAATGAATTCTAGCTAGACACAATGTATAACACAGCACCTATTTTATTTTTGGAACAGATACTGCGTGCTACTGGAAAGTGTTTTCATCCCCATTGCTTTAACTGTGAGGAATGTGGCAAGAATTTGGATGGTGTGCCGTTCACCTTGGATAACTTCAACAAGGTTCATTGTTTGGAGGATTACTATAGGAAATATTCACCTAGATGTGCTCTGTGCCATCAGCTCATTCTTCCTGAAGATGTATGTACTAAGTATTTAATAAATGCATATGCAATTTTAAGTGCCTACGCATCACTCAAACGATATAAAAATATTTTACCATTCAACTATTTACTTCATTTAGAATCAATGCTGAAAATTTTGAATTAGGTATCATAGGCACTTTAGGTTGAGTCTGAGCTACTGAATTAGTAATTATCATTAGAAGAAGCTTAATGATTGATGGCTCTTAATTGGAAATTACAAACTGTTTTTTGTTTTTTTTAAATCTGTCTACAGAGGATTTAAAAGTAAATTATGTTCCTAACTTTTTTTGGTAACATCGTTTCAGGGAAAGAATGTTTCACGATGTACATTTTTCACTATCAATATGTTACGCTGTGTTTAACCCTTTCACTACTAGAGTGGCCAGCGGAAAGACATTATTTTTTGCTTTTCAATTACCTGTCCCCTAGGACATATATTTTTCATTTTGATATTGAGAAATAAAAAACACCCTAATTATGTTCCAGGAAGAGACTGTGTTAGGGCCCTTTTAGCCTCTTGTAGTGAAAGGGTTAAAACATTCATTTCTTGACGATGAGTCAGAGACTGAAAAGCTTGGAACATATTGTATTTAATTCTTCTTAATCCCCCCTTTTAATAAGCCCTCAGTCTAAGGTGCCAAAAATTCAATAAGCCTGAATCCTCTAATAAGCCACTACCCCTACAGAATTGTGTTCTTTTTCCCTTAGCTTGGCGAGTCATTTAAGTAATTATGAATTTCCAAAGATCAGGAACATCTATTAACCCCCCAGTCTGTAATTTAATGGTTTCAAAAAAATAACCCTTCTGATAAGCTTCTAGTCCAAAACCACCCAAGTCCCCAGAGGGCTTAATCATACATAATAATAACTATGGCTTAATAGAAGAAATATGGTGATTAAATTTTAAATACTGAGTTGATCAAACGCATTATTTAACGCTGATGAAAGCAATATTAGTCATAAATTATAGTTATATTACTGGTTTGATTTTCAGGGCCAAGATGAAACTGTGCGCATTGTTTCCATGAACAAAGACTTCCATGTCAAATGCTACAAGTGTGAGGTATGTACATATTTGGATGTTACTGATTTGACTGTATTAACCTATCATGACCTGTGTCGTCTATCAGCATCTGTGATGAAACAGTGTTAACMTGATATCAATTTCTTTCCAAAGGACTGTAAACGCCAGTTGTCGTCAGAAAAAGGAGGCGATGGCTGCTACCCTTTGGATGGTCATCTTTACTGCAAGGACTGYAATGCTAAACACATACAAAAATTGACAGCAGATTTAGACAAACCTCCACGACCACTGACAACTGAGCTCTGAAAACCCAAAGGCTGCATGTGGTATTCCTGTGCTTATGGAAGAAAGAGGGAGACTGAGTAATGTTTTTTATACCCTCTCGATGACAGACGACCTTTTTCTTACATTTGCAATCATGATTTATATTTTTCCATCCAAAGGCATAACAAATTCTATGGAATTTGCCTTTTTTTTGTTTCCATAGTACATTTTGGCTGAGCACATGATACAAAATTGAGAAAGAATTGTTAAACACGTACAGGTAACCCACAAACAGCAAAGACAAGACCAGACATGCATGCAAAACAGGGATCAGAATATATATTGTATACTAATCATTTATAATACATCTATGTATAAAATACTCGTTTCTGATTGGCTAATTGTTGGATATGAATTTTTCTTGAAAACTTTATACCTTGGGTATTGGTTTCAAATGAAAAGATGGAGCATATTTTTAATTCAGAAACTCRTATTTTATGTAGATTTATTATTAAAAGGAAATACCATGTTAGTTCTCAAAGAAGTAATGGAAAACGCCATGCACATATTTTTATAAAAGTGGCTAGCTGTGGTACTGTGCTATTTCAAAAGTCAATCATCTTTCATTGTGCATGTTATCTTTTCATTGGTTCTTAATTAAAAATAATTTACCTTTTAAGTTTTAAAAATATGAAAATCATTGAATAGAAAATAGGTCACTATAGTGAGAGGTTTTTGCTGACTCAGCACTTTTAAGCAACTGAATTATCTAGGTTTTTACAAATGTCCAAACGTAAGTCCAAAAGGTGGTTTTATTTGGTTTTGTACTATTTTTACAAAACACTGGTCAAGTTTTATGGTAATGATAATATATTAACTTCTGTGTTTTCTTTGGAAATTAAACAACATATTTTACTAACAAATACAAWTTTTACAAATTTCGTAAAGAAAATTTCTCATAGTTGAAAGATCTAATGATAATTGGTGTGTAGAAAAAATCTATTTTAAACTAATAAAAATATACTTAGGCGATGGAATTTGTTTTATCGTGTTTATTGTAGACGTGTCGTATTACTTGTACTACTACGAAATACCATTTTCTAACGGGATGCGTGCGCACCTTTGTAGGCAAAACGAGTGACCAATTTACATCTATAAAGGCTGCTTGTCTTTGCCCCTATTAAAAAAAGATAAATGACGGAAAAACTCAAAGGCAATGAGAAAATATTAGCATTTGKCATGTGCGCACATCCCTGTAGGCAAATGAATCTACATTGGTCATCTCCATTATCATCAATATACAAGCCCAAACAACAAACTGCCCTCTTGAAAACGCGCGCCCAGTGGGCGATAATGAATTTTGGCGGGCCGCAAATACGTTTGCAGCCCGCTAAAAATTCAACTCTAAAGATCTGGTACGGCAACTTTGAAAATTTGCTTAATTAAATGACTTTGGTTGATCATATTGTTCATTTGTGGCCCTCGCTACGCTCGGGCGCAAATGATGCTACCCGGGCCACAAATAAACAATACGCCCTCCAAAAGTCATGTTATTGTCGTAATCTCGTACCCAGAGCCTGCATTTCTTTCTGGCCTGTAGCGAAGAACGAGGGATCTGGCATAATCCATCTTTTGGCGCATGCGCAATTTTCCGGAAGTTAAATATAATCAATGAAAATCAKGCTTTCAAACAGAGTTCTGTGTTAACTTCCGATCAAAATAAAAATTAGGGATCGGACACATATTTTTTTATTTTTGGCAAGTCTTTGAACGCATGCGCTCTTATACCGGAAGTCCAAGAAACCCTGGACTCAAAAAATGGAAAGTCTGCTTGTCCAGGGTAGCCATTGTCCTAGCCGCCATCCAGATGCCACAGCTCTCATTCCTCATTCATACTTTCAATTTACTATTTTACGGAGAGGAGTATTAAGTTTTTATCCTGGCTCTCTGGATATTAAATATATTTAGGCACTGCCTAAAAGCGGAGCTCCCGATACGCAAGTCACAGGGAGCCCAATTTGAATGAATAAGGAAGATAAAATTAAAATCGGTAAGATAATGTTTCCCATAATGAAAAAACATGCACTGAAAACGAATCAAAATGCACTACATCGTTTTTTTGGGCGAGAATACTCTCCCACTTATATGAATTGAACACAACTCACCACCAAACCCC